CATGCAAAGCATATGCTCTACCACTTGAGACATAACCTCCCGCTTCAAGAGACAGAATTTTATTGTCAAGTCTGGATGTCGTCAAAGCCCGTGTATGACTTGGCTTCTATCTAAATTATTAGGACCTTTTGGCCAGGTAAGGGTTGAACAAAGGGCAGAGTGTATATGGTGGACCTTGACTGAAATGACTGAGATGCTGTTTGGAAATGAATTTTAGTTTTTGTGTGGCTTCACGGATACCTTGACTGCTTCATTGGAATGGGGAAGGCTGAATATATTCATCTTGAAGGCACTTCTCTCTGTACGGCTTATTCTGTTTTCTATGTTGGCCTGGATCTGGTGTAGAATGTTAACTGGTGTGGAAAATGGTGCCTGTCCTTGAAGTACGCTCTGTTGTTTTCTTGCCTCTGACTTTGCCAGAAAGGTTTTCCCCTCTCTCTAACCAACTTTCTCCACCTTCTCCATTTGCCTATATCTGATAGATTCTTCAGACTAGCTCAGTTTCCTTTCTTCATGAAAACCTGCCTGGGTTACACTGAATTTAATCGCTCTTCTCAGAGTTCTAATTTGCTAAATTTCTTTTAAAATGTTTATTGTACAATGAATACGTGTGTAAATTTGAAAAATAAAATAGAAGATGCAAAAAGAATAAAAACAATAATCTGCAGTTTCATCAGTAAGAAGAAAGTTGTGCTCATATTTTGCATATAAGAATATGTGTATGATTAAAGAAATATAGGGGTGTGTATATGTGTGTGTATATATATATATATATATATATATATATATATATATATGCATGTGTGTGTGTGTGTTTGAAAAATTATATAGCATTTATTATCTTATACCTTGCTCATTTGCTGAACATTGTACCAAAAAATGAAATGTTTAAAAATATGACTAACATCTTTCCATCTGTGTATTTACGTGAATTTTATTAGTAGGGTATAAGTCCTTTATGAGGCATTCTAAAATAATAAATAAGCAAGACATGATGAGTTTCCTGTCCACTTATTTATTATGAACTTGAGCAAATTACTTATTCTGTTATTTTTTGTGAAAAAATATTTTCACTTAAAGAGTTCTTTTGAGGATTATATGAAATAATGCAAATAAGATATGTAACGTAGTGCCTGACATAAGAAGCATTCAAAGACATTAATCATTAATATCCCCATTATCAGTATTTGTTTATTCATTCAACATATGTCAGCATATGTATCCAGAAATATGCTAGATCTAACTTAACTTCTAGGAGCTTAAAATCTATTTAAATATTTTCCCTAGATTACAGTATTTCCACAATTGACAGTGGGATATGATGGATAAGCATGTGGCAAATTAGAACAGCCAAGGCTTTAGTCTTAAAAATGACTAAAAAATTGCTGAGAATAAAATTTCCTGTTCTCAAGAAGATTCCATAATGAGCTATCCGGCAACCTGAGGTTTTTTTTTTTTTTTTTTTTTTTAATCTTCCAGATTCTATAGTAAAAAAGCAAAAACCAAAATAGCTCTGTCATGTCTAGCCACTGTCAATTAATGCCTGAAACTGGATTAACCACCAGAAAACCAATTGAAGTAACGCGAGACTCACCAGCTGTCAGGCAGGGTTCGTCTCCTTGGAGGGACCACATGCATACTGTTGTTGCCAAGGATAACAGCCTGTAACATCATCTTTTTTTCAGGGCACGGGTAAATTCTGCCTCATCCGTACAAACCCTTCAGGCCTCCAAGAGGCCAGAGGGTTCAGATTAAAATTCATGCTTAGCAGAAACAGCTTCCCCGCTTCCCGCCACACTCTTGTACGCTGGATTCAAAAGAGGATCCCAAGGACTTAGCTATTGTCTCAGCTCTGCATTTGAACTCTGTTCATGTACCAGCGTAGAGCAGCTCGTGTTTTACAAAGGGCAGGGGCGGTCACATCTAAAGTACTCGGCATTATCAGAAATCCCTCTGTTTGTACTCTTTTCATGAGAGCCCACAAAATGGGTCTTCTCCCTTCTTTGTTACCTTAAGCCTTTGTTGTCAGGTGGGGAGCACTGCTGAATTCTGTTAAACAATGGTGGAGGGATGGGTTTTGAACAATCAACCTTGTGTGTGACTGTCAGTGTGTGTGTGTGTCCGTGTGTCCGTGTCACACAAAGACCAGAAAATCAAAGGAGGCTATTATGGGAAAACCTTCAAGCAAATCTGTGGGTTCCTAGGCCCATCTGGGTCTTTGCGGATGGTGTTCCACCAGGTTATTTGACTAGAAACACCTGTTGTTTTCCCTGCAGAGCCGTTGGGAAGAGAAGGGGTGCAGCCCCCGCGCACCGATTAGAACACGTGGCTGGTGCATGAACCCTGGTAAGTCGTAGTAAAGCAAGAGTGTAAATACTGGAGTATGCATTTTTTTTGCCGGTTCCATGCTGCTTTTGGAAATTTTTTTGGCATTTGCTTCCTTGCATTTGGCACTGTAGGCTATTTTAATAATGTTTACGCTCTTGTTCTGCTCCCTATCTCAACAAGCTGTTAAGAGAAGCCACATTTAAACAAGCATCCCTGCATCTTTCGCTGCTACTTGAAGCGGGTAGCAGGCTGTTCCCCAGAATAGTCTGTAAAAGATCTTCTCCAAAGAAGCTACTTTAATGCTAAGCAAAATGCCACGTATATAAAATAGGTAATGCCGGATTATGTAAAACGCTTTTTTTTTTTTTAAGGAAGAGGGAAAAGGACTTAGCATCAAATAAATCCGTCAGCATGGGGAGTTCCAAAAATAGTTGCAAAGGTAGTTTGAACTGCTTAATATTGCAATTACTATTTACTTCTTCAAATGAGTCTCCATTATCTTACGAAAGAATCTGAAGAATAATTTGTTTGACTCTCCGGGGGCTTGAGGCCATCTTGTGAATTGATGTTGAAAGAGCCTTCTAAGAGTCTTCTCAAACCTCGTTTAATCTTTATATCACACACTTTTACTTATTGCTTATCCCGTTCCAAACACCCCACAATCCAGATTTCTCGAGGAAGCCTTTTTCTACATTAGTGATAACGCACGGGCATGCGGTAGGGAAATTAGCCTAGAGTTATAAGTATCAGGAGAAACAACAAAGCCAGTGTGCTTTTGTTCTTAGCAAGCTTACTCGGTCTCTCAGATATGTAAAGATGAATCAGAAAACAATACGAACCAGCTCATCTTCTTAATTAGAATCATAGAACGAATGTTAGAGTAAAAACAAGTGCTTTAGAAAATATCCAGTCTAGGCACTTTCTTTTCGATTTGAGGAAAAAAAGAGGTCCAGAATGCTAACACAGCCAATTTAAGACCCATAAAAACAATCCAAGCAAGAGCTGAGTGCTTGGTATTTCCGATTTCATTTCACCCTTTTACCATTCTGTCACTTACGACGTGATCATGAGACTCAACCGAGAGAACACTTACAAATACTGTTAGAGTCTCCCTTTCAAGACTTGTGTTACTAGCACTAAGCTGGGCCTGAGAATCTGCCTTTGGACAAGTGCCCTTGGAGATTCTCATGCTGCAGAAATTTAGAAAGCTTGGCGCTGCACCATTCTGTCGCCAAAGATTGAAGACCGTTACTCATCACTTAAAGCCTCTATGAAACTTTCTAAAATACATCATTATGAGTTTATGTTTAAATTGCCTCCGTTTATATGTGAGGCTTTGGGGAAGCCTTACATTCGGACCCGTGTGCTGTCCATTTATGAGTCAATTTTCCTGGCAGCTGCTTTTCTATTTAGGGTATTTATACGCCTGTCTTCTGTAATATTGCTGTTTCTTTGAGTCCATCCAGGGCTCTGACCATCCCATCACCATTCTATTTAGTAAGATATTGAATCCAAAGACGCACTGAAACAGTCCCAGCTGAGATGCACTGTAGGCGCTAATGTCAGGCAGAAGCAGTTCAAATACTTGGCCACGACTGGATTGCTGTCCCTGCCTTGTGTGGATTTCCTAGAGATAAGGCAAATTGTGCCCCGGCAAGAGATTAGTATTTGTTTGTTTCTTTGAAATCGCTACCTCACCAAAAAACACGAGTTAAAATGTGCCAGCTGCTGTCCCCGGTGCTAATTGTGAACCTTCTGGAAAATGGCACCTTTTATAGAGCCAGTTTGTGAGAAGACTGCAACAAACACTGCTTTTAATCTGTGTAATTCTGGCAGTAGCAAGTGTCTTCAGGTACTAGATTCCACACTCAGAGTTCTCCTTGAAGTTAAATGAGCTAAAGGTACCTGCCATCATTTAAATAGACAAGTTTGACTTTTGGGTTAATTTTAGGGAAATAGAATGACAAATGGACAAGATGTGCAAATTATTCTTTAAAAACCCAGACGTTGCCTCAAAGCTCACATGGTTTATTTTAGCAACTTCAGAGGCTGTGTTCTCAACTCGTGCTTTTATACTATCCCACATGACAATTAAAATGGAGAAAACGTGGGAAAAGCCATTGTTTGTTTTTTTTTGTCAGCATGCGCGGCACTGAACAATAGTCAGGACATGACAGACAAGGGGCCTGCCCCGGGGAGTTTACAATCCAGCAGCCTGATACAGTGTGGAACAATACAATTCAGAACAAGCATGTGGTGATTAACAACCTTTCTAAGTGGTGTTCTTTGCAGAATAGGAGCGGGTTTTTTTTGTTTTTTGGTGTTTTTTTTTTTTTTTTATAAATCAGGGGGTAGAGAGG